CTAATAATATTCACAGCATTAGAAATTAAGACAAAATTTAAACATTAATTTATATAAACAATAAACCCATTTCCATATTAACATAAATAACATTTTTTAAACCTCCATTTTCTAATATGAAAAAATTAATGAGCTCAGTGTCATCATTTTAAAGTTTTATAAATCATTGGGATTTCAAAATAATTTATGGATGACAATAATTAGAGAGGGTACAGAGATAACCAAAGATAGCTAGGAAGAGTACTGAGAACACGCTGACTTGATCTCTAAAAATTCATATATGTATATCCTCAACCTACCACCTTGGAAAATTCTAGGAAGCACAATAACCAAGCATACTTCCCATTAGCTGTTACAGTAACGGCACATCATGTAGCTTCTAGAAAACTCCACTGTACATTCATAAAAGAAAGAAGCGTGAAAAGGGCAAATAATGCCTTAGAATTATGAAGTCTCAAGTTCAAAGAGTCCCACGAAAAGGTCTTGGATGCCGCTAGAGGCCCCTGGTCACCTTTGAGACCCGCTGCTCTCGCGTGGCACCGAAAGGCCATGCAGTAACCCGCTTTCCCTATTTCAAGTTTCCATATGCTTTTTAAAAAACATTTTCAGTAAGAATGTAATGTCATATAGCCTTTTAAAGTCCATTTGATCTGTGAAACTAAGACTCTTACAGAAGCATTCAAACACACACACGCACACACACGCAGACACACACACGTGCACAGAGCATGTATCGCTGTAAATTCAGCAGCGTTCACTGTAGTATCATTAGGTTAACAAACTAGAAATAAATTTCCACACGGGGGATGACTTAGAAATGATCACACGACACGCATGCACACAGATGTATTCATATGTGTATGCACAAATACTCATGACATACTGTCAAGTGAAAAAATGTACAAAGCAATATTTACAATTTTTATATTTAAAAACAAAATTCATATGAGCATATTTAGATACTTGTAAATATACATTATTTTAAAAGTCTGGAAATACGTGCCAAACTGCTAATAGTGTCTCCAGGGAAAACGATGAGAAAGGAATAGAACAGAACAAACCTCTTTTTTATTTTCTATACGACTAGATTATTTGGATTTTCACAATGAGCATATTACTTTTGTCATTAAAACAGCTGGAAACAAAGTAACTAAGAGACATAGCGATTAAATGCAATGTGCTATCCTGGATCGAATCATCAAAAAAGACACTTGGAAAAAACTGGTGAAATTCAAATAAAGCCTATAGTTCAGATTTACAAATTAAGTAAAAATATAACAATCATCCTAAAAAAATATAGACACTAGACTGCAAACAGTTGGCCCAGGAATGGTGGCATTTCCCGCCGAGAACCAGAAAGGAAGACTGCCAGAAACTGGACCGTGGGAACCCACACATGGCCTTCACAAGGTCCGGGGAGGGACGTTACGGCTCCCCCGGCTGTGCACAGACTAAGTCGCCGGGAGACAGACGATCGGCAGAAGACATTTGTCGCTCTTCATGAGAAGACCCAGAAGGCGTCCCAAACATCGAAGCCACAGCTGCGTGTCATGGAGCATGTGCTGCAGTGCAGGGCGCAATCTACGGCAGCAGCTACGCAGCACGGCATTTCCGTGTGCGGTCTCTGTGCATTCTTCATGTCTTCTTTCTTACTCCATGCGTTCACCTCTGCTGATTTTCTCCCCTCCCAATGTGGAGGGAGGACTAGCCATCCGTCCCCCACGCCACTGCCGAGAAGCCCACCAGCCCTGCGAATAGGAGGTGGCTCTGGCGTCAGTGCGCTGTGCCCTCCACCGCCCGAGTCGCTTCTCCTGTCCCAGAGTGAGTGACAGTTCGGGGGGTTTCAGCCTGTGCATCCGGCAAACAGTTACTGGACAAAGGAAGTGGAGAGGGCAAGTTTCAAATGCTGGTGCAGAGAGAGGGTGGCTGCGGGGGTTCAAGCCATCACGAGAGAAGCTGCTCTGGCCCGCTCCATCGGTGGGGCTCTCTGTCCCCTCCCCTGGGGGCGCTGGCCACCTGCAGCAGCACGTGGCCCCACCACTTTCACGCTGAAATTAAAATACATTGTCCATTTCGGAATTTATATGTCTATTTTTAATGGGAAAAAAGATGATAATAATAGTAAATACAATAAATGGGTTGAGCTTTTAAAAATGTCCAAAATAGTTTTCCAATACGGCACTTCTGATATGTAAAACGAGGTGCAAAATGGAATATTTGGAATGATCTTAACTATGTCATCTCAAAGTTATGGAAACTTAATTTGTCTGATTGGAGAGCTGACGGCCTTAAGGAACTATTAATTTTTAAAGATATGGTGTTTCGAAAAGTCTTCATCTTCTAGAAGTATGTACTGAAATATACGGGGAAAAACAATATGACTGGGTATTTGCTTCAAAATCACCTCAGGCAGGTAGGGTGGGTGGCGTGGGGTGGGGTAGGGTGGGGAGGACCGGATGGGGTGCGGATGAGGCCACAGAGCAGCACAGTGCTGAGGCTGCGAGATGGTGAGATGGGGTGTTATTACATTACTCTCTGTACTTTGGCATATGTTTGAAGTTTTCCAAAACAAAACATTTTAAAATGCCATAAAAAGGTGGGAAAAAAATTAAACAAAGATGCTTACTTAAAAAAAAAACTAAGGAATATAATGAAGAGATTTGGTTGAGTCCAGATTAGAACAGCTGACGACCTCTTTCTTATGCTCCGAATTCCTTGAAATGATATATTTTAAAAGAACTGAAGAATCACAACAGTGAAGGAATACAAGAGAAAGGGTAATATGAGGATACTAGTAGTTTCGAGAAACTTCCCTTAAGTTCCTCAAAGTGGCTGTCAGAATGTGGTCCCTCAGACAAACCTCATGAGCATCACCTGGAAACTTGTTCGAAATGCACATTCAGGCCACGCCCCAGCCTCCTTCGGGGGTAGGGTCCGGCAACCTGGGTTTGAACAAGCCCTCGGGGTGATTCTGACACACACTGAAGCCTGAGAAGCACTGTCAAGCCGGCGAGACTGACCAGAAACGAGAGAGGAAAGCCTCAGCCCAACAGTCGGAAAGGTAAAAGCCGTTCCAGGAGTGCTGTAAGCTGAGTCAACAAGGGACAGGAAGCTGGAGGCCTCCGGCTGCGATCAACAAGACCTAACCCTGCCCACCTCCCAACCCGAGTGGCTGGTGGGAGCCGGGGAGAGTTCCGGCCAGGGGTGCCGGTGCGGGGAGCTCCGGCCTTGGAATACAGCCCTTCGTATTTTGGCAAAGAGATAAAGAGACGGGAGTGAGTGAGCATGGGACAAAAGCCCATTCTCCATCTGTGTATTCCGAAAGGTCTGTGTGAAAAAGCCCCCTTTCTCAAAGTAAACATCTTTTGGAGGAAAAAAAGCTTATACAAACGTGGGAAAAATCCACACGAACTACCAGTACGTTAATCAAGTGAATGTCATCCATGTCTAAGAGTGATCATTCGAGGACAACAAAGAGAGGTAAAGATAATTAGGAAATTGAACAAACACAAGAACTGACTATCAATGTTTAGAAAAACAGAAATAATTCAAGGAGTACATAGTAATGTAAAAATTCTAATCGGTATTCTCAGAAAGGTAGGGTACTACATCTGTGCAAAACACAATTAGAACAAGAAAGCAATCTTGAATATTTAAAAACAAATTACTAAACTTAAAGAATGGGCAACGCGCCCCATCTCCCCACAGAACGCAAAGAAAATTTACAAATATTGACCATATAGTCCACAAAGTAGAAACCATACAGGCTACATTCTATCTGCTTGGCAATTTTAAACACACTTAAATAATTCCTGGGTTAAACACAGAGGCAGTTGAATCTAAAATCACCCATTAGAAATAAATAGCAATAATCGCCCCAGCTAAAGACAGTCAGACATAGCCACGGCAGCGCTTCATTTATTAGAAAACAAATAAATAAAACTTAACACAACGCATCTTAAAGCAGTGACTGTCAACACCCCTGGAGACATGGTGGTCTATGAGGGTGGCCTAGGAGTCTGAACTCACTGACACATTTAAGGCCTATAGAATCTGCATGCTAACCAGTGATAAAACTGCAGACTTAAGTCGAATTTTAGAATATCCAGTTTATAATATTGGTTACTTCATCCTGACAAAATGAATTGCGTTACAAGTCACATCTTTGAATAATATAAAAATTAAAAAGAGTTCCTTGAAGTCGGGCAAGGCCTTTTTCATTTTTATACCTTTAATCTACGCACAATGGTGGCACATAAGCCCTTGTCAGCTTACAACCCCTTATTTTTTACATCTACAGCACCTGGTCTTTCTAGGTGGTCTCCCATCCAAGTACTAACCAGGCTCGACCCTGCTTAGCTTCCGAGATCAGACAGGATTGGGCTTGTTGAGGGGAGCAAGGCCGTAGACGGATGAATTTTAATTAAACCTTAAAACTGAGGCAATTACATTACAAACTGCTGTTTCTGCTCTAAGAAATTAGTTAAAATTCATCAGGCACTATACATACTTTTTCACAGAGAAATAAAAAAAGTCCAATTCTGAACCATACCAAAAGAAGCACTTTAATGGAATCTAAACATACACAGGGGCCATATATCAATATTAATATTTCAAATGTTCAATACTGGAGCTACTTAAGTAGTACTAATAGGTGAATTTCAAAATGTCCTTTGAAATAAAGAGAAAATTCAAATTTCAAGAACTTCTGGTTATATTAATTTAACCTGGCTTATTTTAAAAATATTTCCTCCCCCTACAATTAAATAATTATTATTCCTCTCCTGCATTAAAAACAAAATAACTGCATTTCTCTCCCTAAGCTGTAGCTTTGCTCAGTTGAATTTTAAACATTCTTAAAGCTTTTTTCTTTACTACTAAACCAGTATCTCAATTCTTAGTGGCCAAGAGCAGACTTCCTTACATGACGGCAACACATGCAAACGAATGAAAGATTCTGTGAGCAAACGTTATATACGATCCCAACAACACACACGGTCTTAAAAATCAGTTATGTATTTATTTGCATAGATTCAATGACATGGAAATCAAACATTATCACATGAGGCTTACAATTTATTTATTAATCCAGTTTAAAAAAAAATAAAAAACGTTTTCCTCCACTAACTTGAGAACGGCCATATTTTAAATGCTTCAATTTTGACTGCTGAAACAAACGCACTCCTATACATCTTCAGTTTTCATAGAATTAGTATTAAGTCCAAAAAAGTCTTTCTTGATGATGTACCGAACACACTGCAAAATCACATTTCTTTCATGTCGAATGTCTGGAGCTAAAAGCTAAAAAACAATAAAGAGATTGGCTAGTAAATAAAATATATCTAAGAAACACAATCTGAAATATTATATGTGAACACATAACATTAAAGATGTGTATTATTTACTATTTTGCTAAAAAACAATGCAAGAACAATTCCTTTTAATTTACACCAAGACTATCTAGCTTTCTAAACAGCACAAACATTCGGAGTCACTAACAAGGACTACAAAAATAGGTTTAAAAGCCTGTAGTTCTTCAATCTAAAAATCATGTCAAAGAGAACCTACCAAACCTAAATCTATAAAGTGTAGAAACTGATAAGGAGATTAAACACAGTAATAATAAAACTAGCACTTAAAAATGCCAATATTCCTGGACTTGGATAACTTCCCATGTTTTGTGCTTACTATAATTCAAAGAAAGCTAACACCCCCTGGTATTCAGAATAAGTACATAACCAAGGAATCAAAGAATGATTTGCCAAAAAGATAGTGACCGCTCAATCTATTTTCTGATGTCACTGACGTAGTCTGAAAACAACACACAGGAACTTTCAGTGGAAAAAATGATTTAATTTACCACTTACAAGGTAAATATTTTTAAAATGCATTTACCTTAATATTATAGCACGGAAATTTACACAGAAGAGTGCATTTCGGATGAGTGTTAATCAGAAGCAACGGGGTCCACCTGTGACCCCCACGGAGCGTGCCACACAACACTAGCTACAGCGTAAGCACCGACCGGACAGGGCAAAACCTAACACCGTCCACAGACGTTAACAGTTTACAACTCCACTGAAAAATCTGCAACATTACTCTTCCTATCGCTCTTAGACACGAAAGCCTTGTATCTCTGAACAGCTTCATGTCCGTTACTTAGAGTCAAAAGATGCATTGCTTCCTCTTTACGATGTGAAGGGCAGATTTCTTAGCACGGCACAAGGAGAATAATGCACCAGATGAGCACACGACAAAGCTCTCCTGTCCCTTCGGCCTGCCACTGTGCTGAGCTGTGTTGCGATGAAAACTTTTAAATGTGTTGAGGTGTCAGTACACCTCAGCACATTTCGTTACCGGTTAAACCTAGATTTCTATTTTAAGCAGTTTTGAAAACCGTAATTATTGCATGTTCGCTGAACATGGCTGTATGCCAAATGCAGCTTCAGGATTAAGATGCACAGAGGAGTCATCAAGGAGCAGACGTCTCTGGAGACCTTGAAATCACGCACCCACACGCACTGAGCTCCATGGTGCGAGCAGAGCGCGAAGGCTGGCCGCAGAGCAAGCTCACTCACCATTTCCAGGAGGTACGGGTGGTGTGTTCTGGGCTCGAATAATGTATGATAGTTGTGAGGACCTTTTTTCCTCTTAGGGTTTGTCTTTTTAAAGCCCTTCTGGCTCTCACACTTGGCCTCTGAGAAACTTCTAACGGTGGCTTTCGCGTCCTGACTTGGTCTCTGAGGAGCGTGGCTATGAAGGACCCGGTCTTCTGCCAGAACGTCTGCTTCGGTCTTAATGCGAACTTCTAAAGGTGTACAAAACAAACACAAAAATGTAAAAAGACAGTAAACCTTCCAAAAATACCCCCCAAAACCATAATAATCCCCCCCAGACAGAATACTTAATTAAAACGAGGCACTGACGATGTATTACAATATTTGTTTAAGCTGGGAGCTGTAACTGCCAGGCTGGAGGTTACCGTGGAGCCACGGACAGTGCTCCCCGGGAAACGGGGAGCCCCCCATGGGAACGAGGACTGCCCGAAAGTCAGCATGCGGACGCTTTTCTCATTTGAAAAATCTTTTAAAGATAATGACAACCTAAAGCAAAAAATAATATAAACATATGTGCTGTTTATAACACCTGTGGAAATGAAACCTACGACACCAATGGCACAAAGGAAGGGAAAAAGAAAATGTCTACTGCTATAAAATGCTTAAATTATCTGTGAAGCGGCATATTTCAAAGTAGACTGTGAGAAGTTAAAGTTGCATACTATAAACTCTCGACCAACTCTTAGGTAATAAAACAAAGAGGTACAACTAATAAACCAATATTTGCGCTGCCCTAAAAATACAGGATTAATCCAAAGGCAGGAAAAGAAGAAATATACAACAGAGAGAGCGTGAGAGAGAGAAATGAACCATGTCAATAATTACGATATGTGTACACAGTTTAAATTCCCCACTTAAAAGGCTGGGTTGAAGACAAACTGGAAAAAATAAAAAAAATTAAAAAAAGACCAACCACAAGATACCTAAAAACATCCAACTTTAAATTGTACACACTCCCTGCTTTACAGAGCCGAAGGAACTCGATTACCAAGGACGGGTGCAATGCGGGGACTGCCCCGGTAAAGTCTCGGGATAAAGTGAAAGGACGGGAGACGATGCCGTCCGTGCATACACCGATCATGAGAAAACTGCAACGCTGTATCGATCTCAGCCAAGGAGACCTCAGAACAGGGACTATCATGAGGGACAGAGAGGGACAATTCATAACGATAAAGAAATCAATTCATCGAGAAGGCAAAACGAACAGCTAATAACAAAGGGTCAACATACATGCAGGAAAAGCTCACAGAAGTAAAAGGAGAAATAGAGAAATCCATTATTAAGGTTGGACACTTAAATGCTTTGCTTTGATTTTTCTTAGAAGAAAAATTAGAAAATAAGCAGGGATACAGGAGACCTCAATATCAGTTACAATTAACTAACCCAAACTGACAAAAAATATATATATATATATACATTCGTGTCAAATTCACTTGAGTTGGACTATAAAACAAATCTCAATAAATTGAAAAAACTGGAACCATACAGAGGATGTTCTCTGACCATAAGAGAATGAAAGTAAAACCAATAATAGAAAACTATCTAGAAAACCTCCAAATATTTGGAATCTAAACAACATACTTCTAAATAACCTACAAGTGAAAGAACAAATCATGAGAGAAATCATAAAATATTTCAACATAAAGATAGCATAATGTGTCAAATTTATGGGATGCAGCTTAAAGCAATGCATGAAGGTAAATTTCTAGCTTTGAATATTCATATTAGAAATGAAGAAAAATCTAAATTATCTAAGCATCCATTGTAATGAAGTAGAGAGTGAGGGAAGAAATAACAAAGAGTGAAAATCAATAAATTAGAAATAGACAACAGAGAAAAATCAACAAAGCCAGAAATTGGTTCTTTGAAAAGATTAATAAAATAAACACCTAACAAGACCAATCAAAAAAAAAGAGAAAAAATGCCAATTAACAATATGAGGAATCAGAGAGGGGACATCACTACAGATCCTACAGATATCACGAGAAAATATTATGGATAATATCATGCCAATAAATTAGACAACTTAAATGAAACCGAAAAATTCTTTTGAAAAACACAATATACCAAAAACAACTCAAGAAAAGTAGAAAATCTGAATAGTCCTATACCTGTTAAGGATATTTAATTCATAATTAAAATTTTTCCCCAAAAGAAAATGCCAGGTACAGATGGCTTCACTATTAAATTCTACAAACAAGAAAAAAAATGATAGCAACACAAACCCTTAAAAAAAAAGAGATGAAGGAAACAGATCCCACCTCATACCAAACCAGGCAAAACCGTTACAAGAACATAAAAACACAGACCAATAACCCTCATGAACATGGATGCAAAAATCCTTAACAAAATATTAGCAAAACAAATCTAGCACTGTATTAAAAAGTAATACAGCATGACCAAGTAGATTGTATCTCAGAAACACACGGCTGGTTTGACGCTGCTTTGACGTTACAAAGTCAACCAATGCATGTTACCATATTAATAGAATAAAGAAAAAAAACCCATGATCAGTTCAAAACTCAAAAGTTTTAGGATAGGAAAAAAAAATTATTTTTTAATTAAAAAATTAAAGTTTTAAAATAAAAAACCCCCCCCCCCCCCCCCCCCCCCCCAAATAGTTATTCTTTATTTTTGATTACCATGAATTACAGGCGGATGTGATATAAAGGGCTGTTGTCGTCTAGCATTTGGGAGACGAGGTTCAATTATCTGGACAAAAGACTGGGAGTCTAATCGTATCCCTCAAAACTCTAAATACTCAAGCATTACGAAGGGAATTACACTTGAAAGGAAGTATCGGATAAGTGTTAAAAGCAGACTCTGGTCCCAAGCTGTTAGGTTCAAGTTCTAGTTCCAGCACTTACTGTGGGATCTTGGGGCAAGTGACTTATCTGTGCCTAAATTTCCTCATAAACAATGGCACCTACTTCATGGGGTTATTACAATAATTAAATGAGTAAAGCACACAAAACAGAGCCTGACACAAAGTAAGCACTGTAAGAGAATTTGTCGTGATGGTAGTGGTTTTGGTGCTCTTCCTTCGAAGTGATGGGGAAAAGGGAAAAAAAAGAATGGAGCTAAGAATTCGCAAAGTGGTTGAGAGTTTGAAACTATGGGAACGATAATTAAAGGCAAAAACAAAAACCAGGGCACCGCTTTCTATTATTTCCTTCCCCTTCAAGCACTGACTTCTCAATCCAGGATGTGAAAGTCAAATGAATCAGAGCTCACACTGTCAATCTGCTGCTAAGGAATAAGGAACCGGAGCCTCATTTATATTTTTCTCAAGATTCATATTTCCCAGCACAGTGTCATATTGCAATGAAATACTTATCAATCCAAATACATTTAAAAGATAGCCACTGAGTTTTTTCAAACCTAAATCATTCTTTTTTGGTTTGGGACCTTTTGAATGACTTTCTAATTTGGAGGTCCCCCAGTGCTAGCTAAACCAGTTTCAAGAAACAATTTTGGGGAGTTGTAAAACTGTGCTTAACTTCTAATGTGGCAAAAACGAAAACAAAAAACTCACATGCAAAAGCCAGAGCAGATATCGAACTAACCCCTCTGAAAATACTACTCTTTGAAATTTTTTTTCCTATCGGGTATCTTAACGATTCTGGGACAGTCCCAGAACCAAGCGCAGCCTCTTCATTTCCTGCAGTCTTTCTTGGCGGACCTTTTCCTTGTTGAAAACTCTTTCTGGAAGAGCAGTGCTCATGTTTCAGACCCTCTACACACTTTTCTGTTAACCCCTAACTTGAGACACATCTTAACTGTGAGGATACAAACTGTTAACATTTGGAAAAACCAGACCACACCCCTCCACAGAGAATCCACTTCCATAAGCAGCCTTCTAAATGCCTTTTCATGATTCAGAGCATCCCATTTCATTTCTTGGGTTTATTTATTCTGAAATCTGCATGTATCGATTTCCTATTCTAGGGCCGATAATGAACACCGAAAGCTAGAAATCTGCCAGTGACCTGGATGGCTTACTAACGCTGAATTCAAACCACATAAAATAATTCCTAATGCTCAGGAATGTGAACAAGGGCTTTTCCTAAAGGCTGGGCATTTTGGACCATTAGTCAAAATGATTTCAAACAAAATCAAATACATCTTTTAACAGATAATGTCTTCCGTTACCTATAAGAAAAGGTAATGCATTACGGTGCAGGAAGACAGCAAATGCCACCCCGAGAAAGACTATGATGGACGGCAACAGAGTTGGCTTCTTCAGATCTCTGGGGGCCGACCCTAGGCTTTACACCAGCTCAGCCACGTACTAGCTTTGCAGACTTATCCTAAGTTTTAGGGTCTAAGAAATGAAGGAGTGGGACCTCAGAGATGCCTTCCAGTCCCCTTTCTTCCCTCTAACTGAAAAATGGTGGCAGCCACAACACGAAGACGTGAGTATAAAAGTACTAAATGTTTTATCGTAGAGAAGAAAGCAGTCACGCTGCTTGTTTTTACAGGATTCAGTCATCTGCTAATAGCCTTCTTTGCTATCACCTGTCATAAACACAACCGATAAGCAGGAAATGTAATATGTGTTTAAAGAATAACTCCATCTTCATATCTGTGTATTGGAAACAGGAGTAAAGAAATAAATACTGTTTTTCTTAAAATTAAAAAAAAAGATAAGGCACCCATCTGTTAAGCAATACTCTGACAGAGCCAAAGTAGTTTCTATTTCAAAATTCAAGTAGTTTTTAACCAGCTACCACAGCAAGCCATAGTCCATTAAGAGAAGAAAAAAATTCCCATTACAGACTGAAATATTACCTTTCTTAATAAAACCCAGCTCTTCCCTCTTCAACGTCTTCCCACGACACAAACGCTATCTTGGGCCCAGTCGACATGAGAAGCGCTGCCGCCCCATCCGAACCTTCCCCTCGCTCCACGTACCCCCGCTGCACCCCACACTCTCATCTTCGGGACAGACCCTATCGCGATCACTCGCTCGTCCTGAGGGACACACCCATGGACTCTCGTGGCTGGTAAAGCCTAAATGAAATGACCGCGCACAGTCGGTCTCCGCGCCAGCAGGACGCAGGCTGCTTCACCGGACACGCGCGGGGTCCCTGCGGACACTGGGTGGAGGGCTGCCACGCTGCGACCATCGACGGCCTCCTCACAGCTCGTGAATGAGTGCTGAATGGGTGCTACCGTGTCGAAGGCGAAAGGCAACAAAACGAAGCAAGCCCGTAGGTGGCCCGAAAAGAGATGCCAGAGCTTAAGCTGGCTCGTCGCCATCTTTAGAGGTCAGACGTGTCTCCTGAACATCGCTGACCTCTCAGAGCCTCCTGAAAGGACTCCATTTCTTCCAACCCTGAAAACACACACCACAAGTACACGGTGGCTGTGTCCCCAGCTGAGATCACTGACGCGATGTGCTCTCTGCAGAGCGCCGCCCTACACGCACTTAAGGAACCTCGTCACCCTGTGTCACGCGGGGCCTCTTTCCACCCGCCAACGGTGCTAACCGTAAGACGAGCGCTCTAAAAGTAGAGAGAGGAAATTAACTTTCTTCGCTGAAGCTTTCGGAATGTTCTTCAGTTCCATTAGTTAATACTCTTTTCCTCCTATTCTTTCACTGCATTGTCTGCCTTTTTCTCCCAGGACAGCGAGACATTTCCCCATTTCTCCAGCTTCCCTTTCCCCCATGTTAACTTTCCTTCTGAAGCAAATGAAAAAGGAATCTGAAGATCAAATAGAGAATGTGCAGGGTACGCCTCTCCTCAGATCCAGACGCGTGAATGGGTGCCGAATGGGTGCTACCGAGTCGAAGGCGAAAGGCAACAAAACGAAGCAAGCCCGGCTGTAAGCGCGAGGCCACACCTTACCTTCCGGCTCGCTCTCTGAGCCTGACAGACTGCCATAGCTGCTCATCAGCGAGCACAGGGCTGGTGTCACTTCCTTGGGTATGACAGTGCTATGCGGTTTCTCCTCTTTATCAGACTCTGAAACAGAAAGGAAAAGAACTAAGAGTAAAACAGTACCCAAGACATCTACCGCCGCGAGAAAAGAAAGCTGACGGCCCCAGCTCCCTCATGTGTTAGTGACGAGGGATTCCTGATCATTTCCTAAGTCTTCCCAAAGAATGAAAGCCAGGAGACCTGAAACTGTCCCCCCTGGTTTCAGTTCTCACGGTCAGAGAAGCTGTTTGCCCCAAAGACAAGACTCAGGGGCACACGGAGGCCACGCACGGGCCAGTTACTTACCGGGCTTCGCAGCCTACAGAATGTGGGCCTCCTTCAAAATTATATAGTCTTTGCTGTTAATTTGTTATTTACTTCATTCATACTACTAATTACTTTTATTAAGGTAGTAGAGAGACCGGAAATTTATTTAACTTCAGTAGATTAGGATCACTGAAATTTAGGAATAACATAAAAATATCCATTTTTTATTGTTTTAAAGGACAGAAATAATATTTAAGCCATTCATGGATTTTTGCTGAAAGTAATCTGCTCAAAGGTTTTATTATTTAGAACTTCCAAGGGCTTGAGTAAACAAGCCGAGCCTGAGGATCCGGCCAGCACCCCGGGGCTCACCAAAGGGACAGTGCTTGACGGGCCCAGCAAGCCTGGCTGCAGCCCCAGACACCACCCACGTGCATTTCTGCAGCTCCAAAAAGGTATTAAGCCTAAACTACCAGTAAAAACAAAGCCTGATGGAAGGATGGAGACAGTAAGTAACCTGTCTACATAATGAACCAATTCAACCTACAATCAATATGAAATGTTTCAAGACAGTATTTGTTTGCTAAGTTAGTCCAGGAAAAGCCAACACACGCCAACAGAAATGGGACTATACTTTCGTGTGACTCTGGAATGTCCGCCTTCTGGTGGGTAGAGTTAAAGCCATCCACACTGTCCAGTGCCCCACACCCTCCAAGACCGCTCCTTACCAATTTTAAGCTGACTTATTACCTTTCCTCCTGGATTAATAAAGAGAAAGAAAAACAGGTAGTGTATATATACTCAGGATGAAACAGAAACCTACAACAATATTAGTATGGAGACTGTTCATCCCATTGTGTGAATGATGAGGGGCCAAACTGTGATATTTCCTTCTAAGACCCAAAGAAAAATCCCAAAAAGTACAACACTGTCGAGTAAAATGTTCTTTAAAAGCATGAACTCATTTCATCATCACAAGGTATCACTTTCACTATTAATCATAGGTGATGAAACCAAAATTCAGAGAATCTGCGTAACTTTCCGTTCAGGTCATAAAACTATACAACAGGTGGGTCAAATTTAAACCCTGGTCATCTGACTCCAAATCCCAATGATTAACTAGCCAGCTCGAATATCCCCTACAGATGTAAAGTCTTCTTCTTAAAATGAAACCATCCTATCAAAATGTCTCTCTAATAAATGTTCTCCACCTAAACGCATGGAAACAAGGCCACGCCTTCCCGCTCCACCCCAGTCCAGTCCCAAGCCCGGTCCTGGCCAGCCTGATCTGCTCTTGCACACATCTCCGAAATGAAATGCTGCCACTTTCTTCCCTGCCCGCACCACGCCCATCCTGCCGCTCCCTGGGCCCGTGCACCACGCTTTCGCCAGGCGGGGCTGGCACTTGGTGCTCTGTCTGCTTGGAAAGCCAGCCCCTCGGGCAGCAGCTCCTACCTTTATTCAGATTTCTTAATGTCACCTTATCAGCCACCTTATCAGCGATGCCTCCACCGATGATGCAGAACACCGCACCCCTTCCTCCAACCACCACTCTCTACCCTTTAACTTAGCTTTACTCATCTTCATGTCACGTGGACCAACCCACGTTTATTTACTACATACACCTCCGACTAGAACATAAGCTACAGGCGGGTAGAGGGGCCTGGCTTTGTTCAGCATTGTCTCCTCAGAGACGAGAATGGTACGTAAGCTCTGACAAGTATCTCAAGAACTAACTGTCGCATCAATAAAGACTTCAAAACGGCTAACTAGGACAGAGGACGCAGCTGGGGGGCAGGAGGGCCATCAGGGAAACCTGGACTGTCTGGACTGAACACTCCTTATATATTTTAATAACATGATTCTGTTTTTATTTTTTAAAAATCGTATACGTTAATAAGAAAAATACTGGCAGGATACACAACAAAATGTGAGCAGTGACCCTATCTGTAAGTTAAGAAGGCTGTTTTTGTATTTTATGCTTTTAAGTCTTCCCATGTTTTATATTAGCTTTTGTAATTAGAATAATAGAAAAAACAGAAATAAACCCTGGAGGAAAGTGTTTCCTTACAATTCAAGAAGTGGAGGACAAGGCTTTAACTGGCCTACATAACACCCCTTTTCCTGCCTCTTTTTCTTAAACTTGCTATTTTGAAACAATTTTAGCTTTACAAAACAAGTGTTGCAAAGATACTACGGAGAATATTCACGAACGCTTCGCCATGTTCCCCTAGCGCTGACATCTCATATGACCACGGCACGTCCATCACAGCTAACAAATTATCACTGGCGTGACGCTACTACCCAAACTAGACCGCTGTGAGTTCGCCGGCTTCTCCACTGTTACGGAACACACCCCGCCACCCCACACTGCACTGTCTGACACCTCGCCTGTCTTCTCCAACCTATAACAACTCCGCAGTCTTTCCTTGTCTTCGTGAACTTGGTATTTCTGACGACTCGTCAGTTACTGCGGAATATCCCTCAGCTTGGGTCTGTCTGCTGCTGCTGAGACCAAGACTCTAGATTTCAGGTAATGCCCTCTCCCCATGCAGCGGGGGTTCCACTACCTCAACGTGCCTTGTTGCTGGTGACGTGAACCTTGACCGCCTGGTGGTCTGCCTAGTTTCTCCATTGTAAAGTTACTGTTTTCTCTTTCATTACTCTATTTCTTGAAACGAGTCACTAAGTCCAGCCAACATTAAGGAGATAGGATTAAGAGCCACCTCTTAATAAGAAGAAATACTGAAGAATGTTGGAGGTTTGCTAAAACCACCGCAGTAATTAATACTTGGGGGAGATATTTTGAGGCCATGGAAATACTGTTTGACCATAAACTGTTGCCACTGATTTTGCCACTTAACAGTGGCCCTGCCTGAAACAATAATTATTGTGGTGTTTTAATGGGGACTTTCTACTTCCTTCATCTCTTCTACAATTATTCATTGAAATTCTTCTATAAGAAAGGTTGTCCCTCCTCCCCCGTATTTATTTACATCAGTATGGCCGCACAGATATTTACTTCATTCTTTTGGTTATAGTCTATCATTATTTCTCTTGTGGCTCGAACTATTCCGACTTTGGCCGCTGGGAGCACTTTGCAGTTGGTCCCTACACCCTTCTGAAGAGCCCGCGTCCCGGTGCTTCTGCGCGCTTCCTCTCTCTGGCGCTCCACGAGATGCTCCGGGCTCACCTTGTGTCTCCCCGGTCTCCAACGTCAATCGCTTCTCCAAAAGGCCCTGGTTCCTTTAACTGGAGAGTGGTGGAACCACAACCTGGGTGCCTGGCATACTCGTCCTAGGAGTGTCGCAACGCTTACTACGCTCGCCTGCCTCCCAGAGGGTGTCAGGGCTTCACACAAATGAGCAACACTCTCTCTATTTCATGCCCCCTCAGGCACGTTGTGGAGATCCACCCCACGTCATAAGACTTTGAAAGGGGGTGTTGTCCTTGATCTAAACATCCTCTACATTGACTTCGTCTCAAAAAGATAAGGGTGTCCCCAAAGTCCCTCGGGGCCTCCAGCTGTTCTCACACAGGCCTTTTTAGCAGCCATCCTGGAAGGCTACACCCAAGGCACTGAACTGGCTCACAAAATAATAACTCGACAAACTTCACTCCCTTTTTAATAAAAAACAGCCAAAACATCCCTCTAAACTAAAAATATCAGCATAAAAATGAAGATGATAAAATCAAACTTTAAAATGATTATAAAATACCAGCTCAAATAATTTCCCTTACTGTTAAAACCCCAGTGACACTTACGGGAAATCTCGCCTCCCTCATACACACGTTCCCACTAACCAAAAACGTGCCACGTCACCGTCTTCAACCCTCACTATAAGCATGTTCCTATCTCTGACCCTCAGTATGCATAAGGGTTTCAACGCTTAAACCAAAACAAATCATTGACCTCCTTCACACTCCAGGAACCTGCCCTAACGCTGTTTACTGTGAGGATGGAAGGTATTTACTGCCATTCTTATCCAAAGTGTCTCTTAGAGACCTAGATACAGGCTCAAGTAGAAGCACGATATACAACCATGTTTTGTTGGCATTTCACCAGACTAACGCGTACAGATGTACTTCTTTAAAAATGAGAAACTAGAATTACTCCATCTACCAAAGCTCACAAAACGAAAACAAAGACCACTCAACGTCACAGAGTCCTTCCAACGTTCATTTAGAGAACTGCATAAAATGAAGAATTATAGAATTTTCAAATGAAGAACTTACTGATTATAATGGCAGTCTTCATATTTGTGTTCCAATTATTTTAATGACATGAAAGTTTATATTTGGGTACAGACGGTATTTTATCAACAATGTCACATATTGAAAAGAAGTGTGAAGAAGTGTGAGCTCTAGCATTTTTTAAGAGGGGGGACAAAAAAAAAAAAACGGTGCCCAAGAGTCACCTCGGCACTGGCCCAATGTGGATCTGCTTCTTCCCTGCTATCAGCACAGGTGAGCAGATGCCTTTTCTAGACTCTGTCCCACATCGCCACTATCTTGGGCTCATACGACGTTTTTTAGACAAATTCAGACTTCACATTTAAACGTGTACGAGCGCAGTCAGACTCTTAAGTCCGAAGTGTGGCTCTGCCGCTGCCAGCAGCGTGACCGAGGTAAATAAATCACTGTCCCTGTGTCCCTCGGCTCTGAGAGGGGAGCGCTCGGCAATAGTGCAGATGCAAACGGTTTGTCACGAGGAAATGAGTTAATGGACGTGAAGCGTTTCGAGCACAGTAAGTACCTCACTCGGGAAGCATTAGCTGGTGTGAAAATTTATGATTACTCCCACTAACAAACTTTATCTTATTCTTCTTGGCCTAATATTCCCTTATAACAAGACTGTTTTCCATCCTAGCTCAGTCAGTGATTTGCCGCGTGAAGCCGTTGTCTTCCGAGCCGCACGGAGCCTGCCAGCCCGGCCACCAAGTGACCGTGGCCCGCTCGCTCGGCCCGCTCGGTCCCCTGCAGGAGAGGACACACAGGCCACCGCCACCGGACCAAGGCTCCCGGCTGAGGAAGGGAAGGCGGCGGAAGCGTTCGCAAACGTTTTCATTTCCACAAGGAGAAACGGGGCCTCGGGGGCTGAAGGACGTCTGTACGGGATGAGGGAGCGGCCTCCTCGTCCTTTCATTTTTTAACTTAGAGGCAAAGAGTAAACTTGCCGCATTAAGTGCTCGAGGGAATTCAAGGGGAAACTGTACACACACATAAATCTAGTCCACGCTCTGAGTCAGAACAGTGTTACCCAAACACGAGGGATTAATATTATTTACCCCAAGAGACGGCTCTGGGCAGCATGAAAACACTGGATTCCCCTGGGATTACTGCTTTATGGGTGGGGAGAAGTTTACATAACTGGGCAAATGTGAACCTGCGGCGTCACTACGTTGAGAACCATCTTAAGAATATTTCCAAGATCACATCACACTATGGAAATTATCCAGCATAGATTATCTTCCTCCCACAGCCTGCCTGGCTCACGCACTCAACCCCAAGAGTCTGAAAAGATGTCCTGAAATCAAGGTTTTGACAAGGGCTCCTTAAAAATAAAACAAAAGCATCGTTCTACAGCTTTATGTTATTTGCCATCAAACTTTCCACAAACAACGCTGTGAAGAAGAGACTTCGGCATCACGTCTACACTTATATATACAGCTTTCCTGTTTAACTTACCGGAATCGGTGTTCACCAGAACACCCAGAGGGTCTGCGGTAGCCTCCGGTGGGCCGTCAGGCTTCGAATCACACAAGCGACTGTCTGACCCAAAGGCTGCTCTCTGTCCAGCACGGTCATTTTTCCATTTGTGATGTCTGCCAGGACTTCTGATCTTTGCCATCTGTGAATGTCTAGACATCCCCTTCATTTTGCTAGAGTAAAAAAAAAAAAAAAGAAAAAAGAAAAAAAAAGTGCAATTCTTAACATAAAAGGCATTGACCTTTCAAGAAAAATCTGAAAAAGAAACCTTGCTGTCAATCAATCTTTAAAGCCTAGTGCATGAAAGTATGAAAGTGACCAGAATAAAATAAATTCAGTGGTTTCCAAAGGCAGAGAACTCTACGGATAAATTTTAAAAGAACAACACACCACAATATACCATATTTTGTCAATTTCAAGATGCACATTTCCTCCCATATTTTAACTCCTCCAAAACTGGGTTATAGTGCATAATCAAACGCAGGTGAATTTAACCAGCGGCATTTTCATTCACATTGTACATAAAATAAAAGTGTTTCTTAGACTTTGCAATGTTTGTCAAATCTTGTCTACTCATTTTTAAGAACCATAAACTTTCTGAAGCATTTTCAAATATGCCATATTGTTTGATCTTCATGACAACTCTCTGAAATTGATTAGATAGTACTATTCACTTTACAGGAGGATAAACTTAAAAATACAGACTGAGCACAATTTCACAGCTGACTCAAATTGAGTGCCCTCTCAACCACCACGATAACTCCTCTCAGGAGGAAAACATACTTACACGAGCATATTCTAACATAGACTGTGTAGGAAAAAAAGGCCATTAAGAAAAGGTTTCTTACATACATTCTCAGGAGATGATAATAAAAGGTATCCTTTGATTGGGCTGAGTTTTCAAAGATACATATGTTACCCTAAGTTGTCATTTATCGGGCAAAATTCATTTTTTCATTAATAATGGATGTTGCACTTAAGAGTACAGAAATTAGAACTTTGAGTTCAAATCCCAATTTTGCCACTTACTAGTTGTGTCTTTTGGGCAATATTAAGCTCCCTGAGTCAGTTTACTCCCTCATCTGTAGAACAGGAATCACAGACAGAGAATACAGAGTTCTTTGCATCTAGAACAAGGTAACACACTGGGCCCTTAATAAATGGTAGTTATTCTCATAACATTTCTAAATAATTTGCTAAACCAACATATTCAGTTCATATCTCTACATTACAGAGGTTCTTAATCCTTTCAGAGTCACCATAATCCTTACAGTCTCACTCCAAAAAATTATAGATATACTGCAAATTTTGTAGAAAACCATGGATCAGTTTCCAATGTCCACCCAGAGGTGTTGAGCTGTACACCGCGACAAAGTCACCACGGGTAAGACATGCAGTTTCTGCCTCCGGTCCACCATCACTGTGGGGGAGTGAAGAGACGCCCCTCTCACAGGCTCCCACTCGCCTTCCTGAACCCACTCAGGGATGCCCCCTGCACCTGGCCACAGCTGGCTTTCCAAAGATCATCCCTACGGAAATTACTAGTAAGTAATGAGCTAGGATGATCTTAACCGATAAGATCAATAAGACTTCACTGAAAAAGAGGCATATTTGGTATTTGCCTCCCACCCCACCCTTGAGGAAGTTGTTATATCACTGTTTGACAATCACTGAAAGCAAAGTTTACTTAATCAACACTTAAAAATAGTTACACCAAGTATAATGTAAGTAAAAATGTAGATGCCCTTGAAGTGGAGAGGTTAGGAATAATTATAACTAAAAAGCTAACAGAGAGGAAAATAGATTTAGAGTATTCAATTAATCCAAAAGAAGGCAAGAAGGGAAACAAAGGACAAATTTAAAGAGCAGAACAATGGTAGACTATGTTAGTAATTACATTAAATGTTAATAAATTAAACCCTAGCTAAAAAATAAAGATTTTCAGCTTGAATTATAAAAAAAAATAGGACCAAATTATATATTCTATTAAGAAATACACTCTCAAATATACAGACAGGAAAGTTTAAAAGGCAAAGGTTGAAAACACTATCTTTTCCCCATCTATCTGTGGTATTGGCCAACACTACACTATTTTCATCACTGTAACTCTTAGATCTTCTAGAATCCTTGCATTTTCATATAAAATTTAAAGTTTATCAATAGCATCTTCCTCCTCCATGCTACCAAAAACAAAACAAACAAACTCCAAAATAAAACAAAACATACTTGCTGGGATTTTGACTGGGATCAACAAATCTGAGCACAAGAAACATGAAGAAAATACCAAGGAACACCTTGATCACGTTCAAAGTCAGTGTTAAAGAGAAATCTAAAATAAAATCAGCTAGGGAAAAAGGCATTTTACCTAGAAGAACAAGATAATGATGACAGGTTTCTCACTGGAAACAATACAAATGAGAAAACAATGGATAACATCTTTAAGGTACCATAAATTTTAAAAAATGCTAACCTAGAATTGTATATCCAACAAAAAAATCTTTCACAAAGAAAGGCTCGATAAAGAAAGGCGGGATTCCTAGAGGAATCGTACATCATGTGGTCAAGCACTAGGGCGGGTTTAGGGGCACTCTGAGGGGTGAAGGCCTCCTGTGCCCGGCACGAGGCCGGGTCGGTTGATGGTGGGCCACACGCGCGACAGGTGTCCCGTAAGACTGTGATGGACCTAGTGACATCGGAGACGCCTAACATCATGGCACAACACACTGAGCACGTGTTTGTGGTCAACAAGCCTACAGAGCTGCCGGTTGTACATAGCATCGCACATGCGACTATGTGTGGTACCTACACTTGACAAAAATGACAATGATACTGGCTATGCATTTACTGTATTTTTTATAGTTATTTTAGAATATACTTTCTACTTATAAAACAAGTTTGCTGTCAAACAGTATGCTGTGTTACGCCAGCAGCCAGCCTCACAGGCCTCGTGTTCACTGCATCTCGATTGTATCGTTTTCTCTTGTGCTTGCTTTACTTCCATGTCGTTTGATAAAGTTAGTGTGCAGTGTCACTACGAAGCCTGCCGCAGTGGACAGTCACGTCCTCGGCCGTCACTCACCAACACACCCAGAGCAACTGCTGGTCCTGCCAGCCCCATTCACGGTAAGTGCCTTATTCAGGTGGACCACTTTTTATTTTCTATACCGTTATTTTACTGTATCTCTTCTACGTTTAGATATGCAGATATTTACCACTGGGTTAACAACAGCCTACGGTATTCAGTGCAGGGACGCGCTGTATAAGTGTGCAGCCTAGGAGCAGCAGGCTGTACCACGGAGCCTAGATGTGCGGTAGGCTGCACCATCTAAGTGTGTGTAAGTACACTCTATGATGTCTGCACAACGACAAAACTGCCTAACATCACATTTCTCAGAAGGCATCGTGTCATTAATCAGGATGTGACTGTATCAGTTAATCTGTGTGTGGAGGTTACATGGGTGTGTCGGTGCACAGGTATGTGTCTGTGTGTGTAAACTTATCGAGTTGTACATTTAGGATTTGTATATTTTACTTCTGTTAAAATATATTTCAATAAAAAATAAATGGAAAAAACACTGAAGAAAATTCTATGAAGGTGAGGGAAGGTGAAAACGGTGTCTCATACAGCGCTGGTGTCTAGAACAGCATCTGCGACAGGTGCTTGGCAGTTAGCTAACAATGCCACAAATGCACGTACGTCATTTGACTCAGTAAATCCACTTCTAGGAATCCATCTTCAGAAATACCTGCACGTGTGTAAAATGCATGTAACTTTGGCAAATTTTTAATAGTAAAAGACTGGTAATAATTTAAATGTCTGGCAACAGGAAATTGGCTTAAAAAAAAAGATCCCATGGGACATCCTGAGGCTTCCTACATTCTTAAAGGAAGAGGAGACTTGTTATGTATTAACATGGGACAAACAATCACCCATTATATTATTCGGCTAAAAAAAAACCAAGGTGTAGAATAGCGTCCATCAAATTTTTTTAAAGACTGTTATCTATGTGCTATGTACATCTGGACTATCTCTGGAAACATAAAATTGCCTTTGGGAAGAACTGTTTAGTTGGGAAACAAGGACAGAAAAGACTTATTAATTATAAACTTTTTGAAAGCCTTACAAATATAGGGCATTGCTTATTTTAAAGTATAATCTATGATTTTTTTTTAAGTGGAAGGTTTCAGAAGGGGGGTGTGCAGCGATCTGAGATGCTGGTCCGTGTTCTCTCTATCATTTAAGTGCACTTGTTTACGATACGCGGCGAGGAAGCAGCCGTGCGCTCACCCATACTGTGTCGTCGTCAGCACCGCGCCTCTCTTCTCCTTTTCAAGTTTTAACTTTTTCTTCCTTTCGATATTGGCCAGAGTTGGGTAGTTCCTACGAAACAAAGTCAAAAACATATATATAAAAGGGCTTTTAGAACACAACTTCGATTACACAATAAAGCAATTGCTGCATTTACAATTTCTGTTTAACGACTAATACTGTAAATCGTAATCTATATAAACTTTCATATATAACGTATATAAATTTTAATTCCTTCTGGAGTCTTTTTAAACGGCAAAGAAAATAGACTATAACAGTGATGCTCAAAGTGTAGACCAGCTGCCAGTCCACAACCTGGCTACTAGTCTGTGAGGATATGAGGACCTTAAGACTAGGATTTAAATCAAACATATCATACAATGTGCTCGAGCAGCTCTAATTCTTCTATTGGTGTGCACTGGACAATACTGTAAGAAAACACAGAAGTCTGTGCAATGACTAATGCAAATGCATACCAGGTACATCCCAAGTTACCAAGATGAGGAGACAGTTCTCAGAAGAGTCCGCCACGAAGGATAAGAAAAGCACACGAACAGCTTCAACAATGGGCAAAATGCAGTTAGTACTCCGAAGAATATCAAGATTGTGGGGTGGCAGGGAAAGATCATATCGAGCTGGAGAAATCCAGGAAGAAAGGAATGTGGAAGAAAATGGTCTTAAGTGGTGTGAACAGGCAGAGATCAGAAGAAAAAGCTCCAGCGTGTTCTAAGTAGAGCCAACAGGGCCGACGAACCAAGGCCTCAGAAGGCGTGGAGAGGTCCAGGAAATGCCAGTGGTCCATTTGCGTGAAACGCAGTTACAGGCAATCCGATCAGAAAGGGAGGCTGAGGCCAAATGTAATAAGTTTAAATGTAATTCAGCAGACATGGGGAGCCACTGAAAGTTATGGACAGGAAGAGGGATGCACAAGGCAGTGACTAGGATTCAATCCGACAGCGCTGTGCAAGATGAACTGCTCAAAGCTCTCTTTGTGTGGAGAGGCAGGCACTAAGCTGGTGGTATGGGGCACAGATCTCAGAAGTATTAAAAGCACAGAAGGAGGGAACACAGAGGCCACGACTCAAGCGAGCTGCTCATCAGAACAAATGTTGAGAAAAATCAACAAGTCGTGTCCTGCCATTGCTTCTAGGACACTGTTTCCACCGCCTTTTTTATTGCTGTTGTTAACATCTGCATCACTGACTTGAACGGCACAATGTGAAGCCTGCTGGCTGGCCACGCCGGAGGAGGAGAATGGCAGTGACACTGAGTAAGTGAAGTAATCGGAAAAAGGGCAATGAATGTCAATAAGAACACTGCAAAGCAATCTATCCGGCCAAGAAAAACAAACTCCGTAAATAAAAGATGATGAATACACGAGCTATAAATAAACATTAAGAGGAAAAGATCAAGGTCATAAGGAGATAAAATTCTGACAGCCAGTCGGCACCACATGACTGCGCTTTCAGAACGCGAACGCAAGCTAAGGTTCTATGACAGGGCCGCACATGTTCAGGTGTGAAATCCTCCTGTCGCGATACTGCAAAGTGGTCGAGAACACTCAGGGCTCTGTGTCCACTTGCGTATTCTAAACCGAAAAGGAGGGTTGAGAAAAAATAAAACTTGGAAGGGATTCAGAAGAGACTCAGAGATGATTAACGGAATGAAAAATAAGACCTCTGACGAAAGATGAAAGCAACTGGAACTGTTTGCGGCCTTTACAAGAGGAAGAGAGGTGACAATAAACGATCTCACAGAGAGGATGGCGGCCAGTGGTTCTCAACCTGAACGAATATGCAAACGCAGAGAGGGGGAGAAAAAGGTGCCGCCTTTCACGGGCCCCACAGCCTTTCACGGGCCCCACAGCGCCCAGCCTGGAACTCAGCTACACCATGCCCGGCACCTCCCTGAAACCCACTCCCTCTGACGGCTGCGTGTCTTCAACATTTTCCTTCTGCGCACTGCAGACCCTTTGCGCGTTAGGCCACGTGCTAAACAGTAAGACTGGGCACCACGGTGTGTCACAGACACGCGAGATGCTACGTACGTGCTTCTCAATGGTAAAGAAGGGAAACGTTCGTTACGGCAAGTGGATTTTAGGTGAGGTGTAAACGACTTTCCTAAACTCCCAGAAGCGGGGCTCCCTCCTTCCTTAAACTCCCAGAAGCAGGGCTTCCCTTCTTTACCATTGGCCTCGAGGAGGGAGCCCCACTTCTGGGAGTCTTTTCAAACAGCTCACTGTCTCTTTCCGGCATATTAAAGTGTCGCTTTCCCCAAGGTAAGGGACCTTTCAGCATCCCCTGCAAAACGGTGAGATTCTGTTTTTCAGCGCTTAATAAAATCCTCTCCCAAAATTTATACCGTTCTTATTTACATAGAATCTGGAGACTAAAAACTAAGGACGCAAGAGTATTAGAAGGCAAATTATCCCAAAACAGGGATGCCAGAAATACAAGAGCGAGTCACACACACAGGGACCAGGACGCCCCTCCAGCCCAGTAACACTGAGACGCGAAGATAAGGACAGTCTGGAGCTCTGACAGGGGACCCAGGTCGGGTTCCTAGAGCACACCTGAAATAACGAATCCAAAGTCTGGTGGAAAAAAAACACCAACTGCCTTACATTGCACAGTTATGGACAGATAAACCTCAGCCCAATGCTTCCTGTTAGAGAATGGGTGTCACGGAGTTATAAAGACTGGGACGAGTGATATCCTCCCAGTCGGTTTCTCTATGCTTATCTGCTAAAATCACTTCTCTTCCTACTTCCATCTGTCCCCAAAACCCCAAGAGGCGCTGGCCCTGAAACCGTATCCCCTTTTCCTTCTCTCTCCTTTT